GGAGAATTAACTAAATATAGTGGAAGTACATAGGCTTTCCTAAATGTTTCCCACTTACCTTCGATTCAAGTTAATTTCACAAGAGATGAAATCAGTACTTAATTCGTTGTCAATTGCGTCCAACAACTGGATGTTGTCCTTGAAATTCAGAAATGTCTTGCTTTGTGAAGGTTGTTAGGGAATGGAAGACGGGAAAAATGAAAACCTGAGTTTGATTCTCTGTTTTACGTCTTCAAGTTCATAAGCCACCGAGCTCCAACATTTCCCTGGTCGTTATAGTGTTTCCTGTCTTGCCTTTCCTAACGACCATAACAAAGTTAAAATATGTCATACTCTCGCTGTCTAATGTTTTTCTATTACCCCCAGTACCAAAAAGATCGACAGCAATTCATCCGATGTCACAAGCTGGTCATAGGGGACCACATGGTAGGAAATTATGAAATACCGAAACTTTGCTAAGGTTGTCAGGGAAGGGAAGACGGGGAGTACCAAGCTCAAATGAAGCACAATCGGAGCTGTGTAACTTGTTCCAAAATTCCCCTACAACTACCTAAAGGTAGTTACTGTACAACTTTTGCATACAACCTGTGCGCGTCATACATACACGAATTGCATCGTGTAAATCAAACCTACAACTCACTACAACTACCTTAGTGTTGATTTATACTTTACAATTGTCGCATACAACTTGTGCGCGTCATACATACAACACGAAATGCGTCGTGTAAATCAAACCTACAACTCACTATAACTACCTAAAGGTTGATTTACACTGTACAATTGTCGCATACAACCTGTGTGGATCATTTATACCACACGGTATGCGTGTTAAGTATAGATGCATCAGGGTAACAATAAAACCAAATTTATACAACTCCTGTTTTCTTTTAATATTACGTTTTTATGGATTTTACGATTATGTTTCCACGTAAATTAAATTTCCAATTCTTTTAGTACACAAAGGTAAACAGCCAGAATTACATTATTAAAAAAAACACTTAATATCATGATTATCACTGGAAAACTGAACTTCCCATTTCAAGACCTAGATTTAAAATGACAAATAATATTGCAGGATAAACGCTATACAAAATTGTCTGTGTCATTCTTTCTTGACTTTCTTAAGTAATGTTAATTGTAGGAAGTTTTG